TGACAACATCAAGCACACTGAAGTCAAGAAGAAGGTTAGTAGTGAATACATCAGAAGAGTTCTGATGTATTCTTAATCCAACCAAACTCAGTGGCAGAAATACCATGAAGGCAATTAACACCTGGGCAATTCCAGTCATTAGATATACAGTTGGAATAGTGACTGGACTCAAGCTGAACTAAAAGCCCTGGATGATGTTTGTGTGTGACCAACCATAACAATAATAATATATTACACTGACTCCCAGCGACTCTGGGCAGTTTACGATTGTTAAAAACATTTAAGAACAAAAAACAATAGAAAACCCACAAATAACAGCACAAGACAGAACAACAACAATGGCAAAGAAAACAAACCCGCTTCCAGGGTCCAGACAGATGACATTGTTTAATCGATGGAACCTGGAGCACACCAACCCTGCTAGATTGAACCAGCTGGGCATATACTATGGGAGACAGGTAGTCCCTCAGGTAACCAGGCCCTATGCCATGTACATTCACTGGCAAAGATGTGCAAACATTCAAAAAATCTGAAAGGGAGTGAATACTTTTTCTCAGAAATATGCTCTGATTTCAAAGAATTCTAGCTTCAGGGTGTACAATGATATAATCTTAATTTCTCAGTGTTACCTTGATGCCAGCATTCCATAATTTAGATATGAACTTCATTCTCAACGCAAGGAAGTTCTTTTGGGGAGTTGCCACCAACACTTGTGTCTCTGTTGTGCGGATCTTCTTCTTGGACATCTCAGGTGAAAGAGAAAGAAAAATCAGTATTATAACCAGAACTTATTAAAATTTGCAAACAAGCATGCTTGAATTGGACTTAATTATTCTTGGAAATATTCCATAGGCTTCAGACATTTCCACTCATTTCCTAAATATGGATATGGTTAGCCACATGTACCGTGACTTGCACTCTGACCCTACTTATTTCTGCGTAAATATGCATTATTTTCATGTAACCATTTCTCCTCCTGTTTCTAAACCAGTTGTGTCTTGCTGGTTTCTATTTTTCTCCCTGCTAATCTAAACAGCAGCTATTTATTATTACAAACAACTTGTTTACTACAGAAACAGTGCCTTATCTCTCTTATATAAAGCAGTTAATATGTTGATTCTTTCATTGATAGATGGAGAATTTAAAGTGTATCTTTTCTGTTTTGGAGCACTGAAACTAAAGCTGACAGAAATAAGCAAGAACTGATACCCAGGCAAAGAGGGCTGAAATGTTCTTAAAGTCCTGGGAAGCAAGATCACTTTTGGAAGCAGCTTAAGCAAACACCACCCTGATTCAATAGAGTGCAAGGAGGAGGTGAGGTAAAGCACAATCAGACTCACAAGATTCTGTTATTATAGCCTATCTCAATAAAGTATAGTTAGACTGATTTTCTGGTCTGGCCTACCTAGTGGGGCTGACATCAATCCATTTACTCTGGAAGATTTAGAGGGCCAGGTGAATTGCATCCTAGATACTAAAGGAACATGCTTTTAAAAATGTTTTCCAGAATAGTGCTTTTTAAAATTGTTTCTAAAATGAATTTTTACAGTGCTTTCAGTAATACTGGTTTTATTAAGATCAAAACATAATGAAATATTTAGCAAGATGTTGAGTTTCTACTTTCTTTTGCATCAAACTAGATATTAAGAAAAAAAGGGGGAGGGAGGGAAGAGGGAGAGTAAAAGATGCTGCTGGACAACACTGTACTATCTTTCAGTACACTATAATAATTTTCCAGTCCAATCAGGGAGATCACTAAGATTATCCAAGGAAATCCTGCTTCATATGCTGAGACCTATGCTTTGCTATTTTGCAGATACTCCCAGGCAGCCTTCTCTATGATGATGTCTACACTCCAGAATGATTCCCCCAGGAATTTGCAACAGGCCTAATATTGAAACACCTACTGAATATCTCTGATTATCTCAGTCTTTTCTATCTAAGTCTTGGATGAATGATTTTGGTTAGCTTTTGTCCCCTGCCCCACTCACAAACTTTTTAAAGTTGTTTTTATTGTTATATTTTATATTGTTACTGAAACACTTTAAGATGGGTTGGTATGAGAACCAAAATGGAAAGACATTAAGTAACTAGTATAAATAGTAGATTTCAAGACTCAGGGGGCAGGGTGAAAATATGATTACCAGCAGTAGTGTCTCTCTCTAGGTGCCTTGTAAGGCAAAGAAAGAAAAGAAAAACAATTTAGACTTCATATTAGCAAAGCTAGATTGATCTTAGGTGTACTATGACACCTTGCAGTATATTTTATTTTAAATAAAACAAAACAAAAATACAAAAGCACATAAAAGGAAATACAAATACACACACAGAATATTGTTTTAACAGTGTGCAAAGGGGAATCTGTTACTGAGGAAAGTCCACTGAATCTGAGAATAGGGAATCACAGGGATTTATATTCTAGTACTTTGCTCTTCTAATGCCTTAAGTGAATGCCAGCAACAGTCACTTTTGTGCAAACACTGATTGCCACCTCTACCAATCTTTCTCATCCTGCTTCCTTTTACCCTTTTATCATCTCTTGCTTTCTTGCTTTGCCTAGTGCCCACTTGCCCACCCAATCTCTATACCAGCTAGCTCCCAGTGCTTCTCTGCCCAGTGCTCTGGTACCACTCTGCCTCCCTAATGGATCCATTATATTAGGGATTATTGCTCCTTTTTTAAATTGCAAAATTTCAAACCCAAACAGCTTGCAAGTTAACCTGAATGCAATGCAAACTTCTATCATGCCCCTATAAGAAGGAAGATCGTTTTTTTTTTTACCAAACACTGGAGTAAATTAGAAAAACAGGGGCAATGTGCTCTAAGACAGCTTATTCATTTTGTTATTTTAACAAGTGATTCAGTAATGAGGGAGATTTTTGAGCTATGATTGCTTGTTAATGCAAACATTGAATTTCTTTCAAGGAATTTCATAATTGTGCAGGTCTTATTAAAATCATTAAGGGGTCAAGGCCTGAAAAGAACAGATGACCAAGAAAATGAAATTACAAGAATAACCCTCTTTAATGCTGCAGCAGACCTGGAGCAGCACACAGTTCCATTATGGATGGCCAATCTTAATCTCTTTGTGTTCACTCCATGATTATTTTTCTAGGGCTTCTCTTAGCAGTCAGCTGTTGATTGACTACAGGTTTAATGTCCACTCATTTAGCAACTATTCAAAGTTACAATGGTGCTGTATGAGAGGTACTTACAACAGATCCTTGTAGTTGTGGCTGTTGCACCATCTCTGTAGTCACGTGATCACAATTCGGGCAAATGGCTTGCAAGTACGACATTGCAGCGTCCCGCAGTCATGTGATCGTCTTTTGTGACTATCGCTGCTGGCTTCTGACAAGCAAAGTCAATGGGAAAGCCAGCAGGAGGTTGCAAATGGTGATCACGTGACCGTGGGACACTGTGACTGTGCGGGATTCGCCTAACAGCAGCAACTGGGATTGCCAGAACGGCTGTTGTAAGTCAGTGCAGTCATGTAACATCACACTTTACGACCGCATCACTTAGCAACAGAGTTCCCAGTCTCAGTTACTCCCGGTAAGCAAGGACTATCTGTAATACAGGGGGATTGATCATAGGGACTGAAGACAACCAAGGGAGGGCAGGTCTCATTCAAAGTGGACTGATAAAAATCTCTTGTAGGCTATTAAAATACTGAACATGTGGTCTGAGCTAGCAGTTGCTATAGTCAAAAAATAAAATAAAAATGCAGTTCAAGATGCAATGATGGGTCAAACTGGATTCAGAGAAAAGATTATGATTCAGACAAAAGACTATGATTCAGCTTGGGAGACACTGGCGCACTGTCCCCTAAAGAGGCAGCTGGGAGCCTGTTCAAATTGGCTTTGGGAAAAGAATGCCATTCCTACCTTTTTCTTCTGCAAGACTAGACCAGTCTATCACTCTCTAGAGCAGTTTTTCTCAACCTTAGCAACTCTAAGGTGTGTGGACTTCAACTCCCAGAATTCCCCAGCCAGCATGGGATGAGACTTGGACTAATTTAGTGCCATGGCCCTGTGGTACAAGTAGGATGTAATCTCTCTGGCTGAGTCTTTTTGTGCAGGTTTCCTCCAGAGAAATTCTTGAGAGTCAGAAGAGGGGAACAGGCCTGACTACACGTGGCTGGTTTTGTTATCTGCCATAGCCAGGCCCCAACCATTTTCTCAAAGAACAAAAAAGGGAGCAGGCAGGCAAAACCCTAAAGAATATTTTAAAATGCTAATGGTGGAACTTCAGTGCTTAAGAATGGGGCTGTGCCACCCCGCACCCCCACCCCAATTGGAGTTTGGACAGTCCTTGCATCTCCATATTATTTCCTATCCTGCAAATATCCTGCACTTCCCCACTTGTATTCTGATCATTATGCACAACCATGAACCTATCATTCCCTTTACATCTTCTAACTGCTTAATAGACCTTACCTCATTATTCTGCTCTATGATGGAGAAGATTCTTTCAACACCAATGCTGACTCCAACACAAGGTACCTTATATCCCTTTGAATCAAACTTTGTCACAAGCCCATCATAGCGTCCACCTCCAGCCACACTACTTATGGTAAGAGACTCATTTAGGTGGTTATACTTTTGGTGCAATAAAACAGCTTCATAGATGACTCCAGTGTAGTAAGCTAGACCACGAGCCAGACCCAGGTTTAAGGAGACCTGTAAAATGGGACAAGAGGGCTATTAGTAGGAAAACACTGGACTGCCCCAGATCACTTATATTTACCTAATACTACATCCCAAGTCACCTGATCTATGATGCCAAACAGAGAAAGGTATTCAAATAGCAATTTCATGTCCTCCAGTCCTTCCATAGCCAATTTATTCTGGACCAGTTTTGGATCCTTGAGAAGCTTCTCAATGAGACACGGTCCCCCTGCAAAAAAAAAAAAAAAAAGATGCATTTAAGGATGGGAGATACGCATACAGGTAGTCCTCACTTAATGACAATTTGTTTAGTGACCTTTCGAACTTACAATGGTGCTGAACAAAGGGACTTACAACCAGTCCTCGCACTTACAACAGTTGCAGCGTCCTGGGGTCACATGATTGTCATTTGTGACCTTCTCAGCTGGCTTCTGGCAAGCAAAATCAATGGGGAACTGTGTGATTTGCTTAATGACCATGTGATTTGCTTAACGGCCATGGTGATTCGCTTAATGACCGCTGCAAAAAAGTTTGTAAAATTGGGCACAACTCGCTTAACAACCACCCTGCTTAACAATGAATTCTCCAATCCCTATTGTGGTTGTTAAGCAAGGACTACCTGTACATTGTTTTCTATCTACTTCAGTCAATCTTACAATTACTAACTCAACATTATTTGAGTTGTGAGCAAACTTAGGTTGAATCCAATGCTCAGAACACAAAAAATAAGGAAGAGAGCACTTGGTTTGCACAAAAACATCTGTAGGATCATAGTCAATCTTACTCCAACTAGAGATTAATTATTAACATATTATACAGCACTAATACTGAAACTCACCATGAAGTTGAACATATTCACTAACATGATCTACACACTCAGGAGAAATCCCATCCTCTCTGATCATTTCATTTTTCACTTCCTCCCATGTCACCTGTAGAGGAAATGGGGGAGTTAACTCTGCATTCTCTAGGTTAAAGTAATTCATCCTCTGGTTAATGGCTCTCTTTGCTCAAAAAGATCACTTAAACTGACAGTTTTTTCAATATGGGTGAAGTACAGACATAGGGAATGACAATTTGATGGGATCCAAGTGAAATAATTATTTCTTTTTATTTCATGTATATCCCATGAATTAAACAGGAAACATTTTCAGGACTGAGGGCCATACTCAGGCTTGCGTGTTGATATGTGCCTGAATCCATACAAATCCTACCCATCCAGGCATACACCTGAATAGCCTAGCAGTGCTGATTCATAGATCTGCTCTTCATGTAAGCACTTCCACAGCTGCATTCCTTAGCCCCTTTTGCATGTGCACAACTACAAATTCTCACACACACAAAGATCCCACATCCATCCATCCACATACTTCCATCACACATTCTGTTATCATTTTCTCCCTCATGTGCCCTCCCATTTCCATATACACATCCTATCTCCTTCATGTTCCCTCATGCATGCATGTCCTGCTCCCTTTCAAATATATGATCAAATGTATCAATTATACTCTTCCCCTCCTCAACTTGTACCTATTCACTTTACTGCCTCTCCTACAAGCCCACCAAGATCACATTGAAGATATTTTACCTTGTCCAGTTTGTCAAGAGTTGAGCAAGTCCTTTCAAATTTGATTTCTGGAATACCACATACTGTAAAGATCCCATGCAAAATGCGCCTGTCGTTGATCTGGGGGAAACAAAGAGCAGACATCAAAAAGAGATTAAAAAATGAATGCGCTTACTGAAGAATTTTTTTTTTCCATTGTCATGATTACTGTGTTTCTATTTTTTTTTTTTTTTTTACAGGTAGGAGTTTGTAGCATATTTAGCCTAAGAAACAGCAACAGTTTTTCTTACTTTGATAAGGAAATCGCCAAACTGCAGCGCAGTTAAAATCTCATGCATGACCTTCAGACACTCTGCATCAGGAATCATAGGATCATATTGGCCAGCAATGTCAAAATCCTGGAGTACAGAAAATAGCTATCAAAAATCTCCAAATAAACTAGGTAGAGTACAGTGGAACCTCGGGTTACGAACGCTTCTGTTAACGAACTTTTCGGGTTACGACCAGCTCCGGCTCTCATTGTG